GGCTTCTTTTTTGTAAATTTCATTTTTTAAGCAGACAAAACAGATGAAAAGTTTGGGATGGTCTTAAATATCCGGATACTTTTTGGAGTACCTATATATATAACGTGTCTGTGTGTTGTAAATATTAATAACATGTGAATTTTTGTTGTTATTATTTATGATATGAGTTATTCTCCACCATATTAAGCATAATTATGAAGCAATGTAACTGATAATATCAGTATCGAACTGAGAAATCATCGAATGAAATTGATTCAGACTAAATTGAGAGTAAATCATATATGCAGTGTGGACCATAAATATGAGTGCAACAGAAACATTGAATTTTTTCCGCTTCATTGTGTTCGAAAGGACTGATTTTTTCGACGAGTGATAGACACTTATTTAAAGTTCTTTTTTATACGGTTAACGTAAACAAATACTATCGTGAAATTATATTTTTAACCTTATTAAAAAAACTTCATCTATTGTCAAGTAAGAAAAAAAAACCATATGAAGCGTTTTATAGATAATTTTCAGTTGTCTTTTTGTAACCGTTCACGTTTAAACTAACTATTTCTAAAAATTGGATCTATGTGCACATCATTATAGTATCATTTATAAAGTTTGTTTTCATTTCTTCTTATTATTCTTCTAGATGAAAATCAAAAAAATGATCTATGAAATACTTCATATGTATTTTTCTTACTTTAGAAATCTTTAAATGAGCTTCTACCATTAATTAAAAAGTCAGTTCATTCAAGTGAATCGAAGCAGAAAAATTTTAATTACAGCTGTGTTCAAAAAAACTTGCACATCTTGTCATGCAAATATATCCTTATACAGGGTGTTTCATAAGTTTTGAGGCTTTACAAAAATCAATACATTTGCAAATAAAAAGTGATCTCGGAGCAAAGGTATTTATATAAAGTTTGAGTACTCATGACGGCGTTTCAAATGATGTATGATTAGATAAGATCTCATTTTGTGATAATAAAGATATACACATGAGAATGTTGAGATAAATTTTTCCAAATCGACCAACACGATTTTTGTTAAAGATTCTCAAATAAAGTACTATACTTATCTTACATAAATAAAAGTGTGGCAGGACCAGTAACTACTAATCTTAGTCGTTTATTCACCGCCAGTCATGAATAACTGATCACATGTTCAACCACGCTATACGCCCAGTGACTGAGATGAACTGGATAAAATATATGAACATATGATGTGCGTAACACAAAACAGCGTAGTAGGTTCAAAACGAATTATTTTTTATCAGCAATGTTTGTCGATGTCTGACCCATTGAGAACGTGTGGGGAATTTTAAAGAAAAAAGTACGAGGAGTACAGTTTTCGAGTTTTGAGCAGTTAAAACCTAGCCTGAAGAAAACATGGAAAAAATAACTTCTGATGATTGTAGAAAAATGATTGATACAATTTCTATCTGACTTGGTGAAGTGATAAAAGCTAGCGAGCAACAGATACATGATAGTTAAACTACATTTTATCTATTAAATTAGTGTGTTTTTTTTTTAATAAGAAGAGTGTTTTTCTTTTTTAATAAAATATCTTGTTGGTTGATTTGAAAAAATTTATCTCAACATTCTTATGTGTATATCTTTATTATTACAAAAAGAAATCTCCTCTAATCATACATCATTTGAACGACCGTCACGAGTACTCAAACTTTATATAAATACCTTTGCTCCGAGATCACTTTTTGTTTGCATATGTATTAATTTTTATCAAGCCTCAAAACTTATGAAACACCCTGTATATATGTCATTCTCAAGTAGTTTTGTATACTGATTGATAGCTTCTGACGAGTACTATTAAATACTATATTTCAATATTTTATTCGTTCACCTTTAGAACAAATAAGAGACAAACATCTTTTTTTCATGGACATCACACAATTTATTACAACGTTAATGTCAGTATTTTTGAATTCTTTAGCTAAAAAACGTTCTAGTTCATCAATATTTTTGGATTTTCTTTTTCAACTTGGCGTTTTACGATCGACCAAATATTTTCTATGGGATTAACGCCTAGACTATTAGATGACCACTCTAATAATTGTGGTACATTATTGTTAATGAATTGTTTGGTAATATTGCTGGCGTGTTTCGGATCATTATCCTGCTGTAAACGCTAATTTTGACGAAATTGTTCTAAAACAGCGAAATAAACAGTAAGGCTGTATCATTCTTCTTCATTACTTACTTCGAGCAGCAGGAAGAAGATAATTTTCAAGCATATCAACATAATATGCACCATCAAGTCAAGGTTGCATCTAAATGTGTGACAACTCAACACACCTTTCACAGTAACAGCACTCCACACATGAACTTTTTGACGATTTTTAGGTATACATTTAAATTCTTTATTTGGATGTTTTGTCCAACGACGAACAGTGTTACGAAAAAGTTGAAATGAAGCTTCATTTGTAAATATTATACGTGTAAAATTATCATTTTTATGCTGTTTCGCTCATGGAACACGTCGTTTTTTATCATCAGATGTTAACATATGAGTACTTTTTGGTAGTACATTCTTATAACCATGTTCATGAAGATGATGACGTATTGTTGATATAGATACTGATGAATGATACGTTGTCAATAACTTTTCTTTAATTTCTTTAACGGTTATTTCATTGTTCCGTCGAATATATTGACCAATAGCTTTTTTTTCTATTCCATTAAGGACATGTTATCGACTATTTCCATCTCGGTGTTTAAGTGAATTTGTTTGTTTTAATTTATTAATGTTGTAATAGATAGTCCTCAATGGAATATTAGTTTCACGATGAATAGCAGGAGCAGATCGAATATCTTTGTTCCAATAATGTAATATTGATATATGATGATTTTTTAAATCACTAGATGATGTCATGATTAAATGTATATGTACAGAAAACAAAAGAAATCATACTTCTATATGGTCAACGTGTTATATAGCTAACGTACATATATCCATGGAAACATGAATTTCGTAATTGCTTTCTAACGGCAAGAAAATCGTTATACAAAAAATTTAATTTTGTGCAAGTTTTTTTGAACACAGCTGAATTTATCTTAGTGCTATATATAGCCCAACCTACACATAAATATTAATGTTTATAGTTTTTATGAAGGTTGTATAAAGTTGATCTTGACGTATTGAAAATAGATACCACAATAGTCAAATCATTATTATGAAGCTAAACTCATAGCAAATTTATCATGTATTAATCGATATAAAACTAAATGGTCTAACATTAGTGATTTACAGTAACAAAAAAAAAACAGAAAATATTCACAATCATAAAATTTGACAGCATCAGTTAATATTCAACGTCAATATATTTTGTCAATTATTTGATGGTCTGTATCGTAATTACAACTGACATTACTGTGTTATAAAAAGCTATAACAATTTTTGTAGTAATAAAACGAGAACATAACTAGACTGTAGAAATGTATATGTATATATCGTTTCAATTTTCATATTATAATTGATATGAATAATTATTTTAGAAAATTGCTATATCGATCTATTTGAATTGTTGACCTAGTAAACATGTTATTCATGTTTAGACATGATGTATTGCTTTATTTTCATTCTTTACATTTATCAACGATATGAAAGTCTTAATCGACCTCTCAAAATGAATAATCAATCAACAACATACGAATTTTTTTTTTATCTTGATTACCTTGCAGTTTTGTAACTTAAATTAGAAAGCTATATTTGTTCAGATATTATCTAAAACTCATAATATTTCAAATAAGATTAGGATCTGTTATCTTTTTAAAGTATATTTTGATATTATAAGAATAAGAATTGATTGATTGACAGGTTTGTCAATTTCAAATTTTGTTTTAATAAGAATTAAAATTTTGATATAAATGTCCAAATAACCGAAATCGAACTTAAATCAATAATCGATTGAATTACACTAAGCTAAAAGTCAACAATAGACAGCAATATACTAACAATTTAGGAAATAAATTCAGTATTTCATATATGATGTTTTAACTATCAATTATTACTAACTATCATGCTAAGAAAAATAGCTTAAGAACAATAAATAATTTAATGTCAAATACTTAATAAAATACAATATAAATGTTAAACAATAATTGAAGATATAGACATCAATAATCATTTTATATTTTGTTTATTTTGACGTGTTTTTATTCTTATAAGAATGACTCGTCTTTATAGAAGTTTATAATTAATATCAATATTCAGTAAGATTATAAGTTTCTAAACAGGAAAAATATACGTTTCACACAGTAATTATCGAGATATTATTTCTTGCGAATAAATTGAAAAACATCGTTTTTTCCTATAATTATCAAGATAGAGTCATTCAAAAATTCGACTTGTGTCCTTATTTAGCATGCATGTCAAATTGACTGTAAACATTCATCGACCTATATATAATTGTATTGACAGTTATTTATTGTGAGTAAGATTAAAAAAATAACAGTGATTTATTGCTTAAGAAATGAAAATGTTACATTATTTTATTATATGATTCATATATATATATATACACAAGATTGTCTTCTAATCAATCGCTTGAAAAACAACCGATAGAATTTAATAGATATTATATCTGTTGTAAAAAAAAGGAATTGAAAAAATATTTTGATTTTCATATGGTAGAAACAAACGCTTATTAGTAATAGAACGGTTTTTTTTTCGTTTTACCTTGCTGGTTCTTCAATATATACATGTTCTGTATTATAGTTAATAACACAAAATACAGGAAAAAAAACAAGACACACAACAAACGAGCAACGCCACTATACGCCATCGCTTATATTATCACATACACATTACTCTTTCACTGTGATTTTGTCTTTCAGTCTTTTTCGTATAACATCAAAGAAAAAGAATCGAAAAAGAAATATACGTAAGGCATTACTGACTAGCACACCTATACAATCAAACTGAAAATTGCTTCTCAACGACCATTTATTATAATTGAATTATCAATCACTTTCTATTGAAAGATTATTAATATGAGTAGACATTCTAGTGCATCTGAATCTAGTAAGTTTTTATTATTTTTTAAATAAAAATTCGAAATAAAGAAATATTCGAAGGGAGATCTGTTGCATCACGAGCTTCAGATTTATCACTATTAAATGATGATGAATGTAAACGTATTTTGACAGTTCTTGAACGTGATTTTAATTTACGACAACAAGAACATAAACGATTAGAGTAAATTAAATATTTGTTTTTCTTTTTGAAATTCATTTTTATAGAATTATTTTTCTTCTTTTTTTTTGCAGAGAATTAAAAAAAACTATTCGACAAGAAACTGATCGTGTAGAATATTTAGCTGGTTCAAAAGAATTTAATCTTGAACGTTGCATAAGATGTTTTAAACCATTTCGATTTTTATTAAATCCGAGAAAAACTTGTTCGGAATGTAAATTATTTGTTTGTCCAGAATGTTCAACATACACATCAGAAACAAAAACATGGGCATGTAAAGCATGTTCACAATTAAAGTAAGATTTTTGACTTTTTTTTTTCTTTTTCATAAGAAAGCTTATTCATATTCCCGTTAAAAGTTATGTCTTATTTTATATTTGAAAAGAAATAATTTATTGTCATGTCATATATTATTTGCTCAGTCAAGCAAAAAGAAAAATAAATTAGATCAGTGAAAAAGAAAACGTTGTTTGTTTTTTCTATTCTGTAAAATCAAGCTCGAAAGCTAAAGTGACAAATAGATATTTTAATGTATATTTCATATTGAAATCAAAATTGATCCAATATCATAATTTTCAAGGTTAGGATTTTGAAAAGATTAGACTATTAAGAACACAAAAAAGATATCTCAGGTGATAGATGTCATTTTTTAGATCAGATTTGTGTATAAAGATTTTATTTAATGATAAGCAGATACTTTCTTCAAAGGTTATCATTTAATGTCATATAGAAAAAACTTTTCGAATACTATTTGATAAATTCTAATCGAAGAAAAAATAGGCAATGAGATTAATAGTTATTTAATATGTATTAAGTATTGTTATTTAAAGAGAATTATTTAATATATTTTATAAATATTAATTGTCTGTTATTTCTTTTTTTTTTGTCTAGAGAACTCCGAGTTTTAACATCGGATTGGTTTTATAATCAAACAAGCTGTAAACATAAACGATGTGGTAGTTCAAGAGTAGTTCGTGAACTTCATAAACGTGAAAAAGAGTTGGGTGAGTTTAATTAAATAGTCAATCGTTTCTGTCTTATCTCCTGTTATAATCATCACTGTCTCGCTCATTTTCTTCATCTTCACATGGCTTATGTTTTATTTATATTTATTTTATGCCAAACATCCCTTCGTTGGTCTCTTCCTTCTTTCTTTTTTCTCATCATTCTGTATGTCAAGTGCATAGATTTGAGCTCATCGACCTACATATCTCTCTCTTAACATATAAATTGAACAGTGCGAGAATATATATATATGTGTGTATATATCTCCGACAACGTGCTATTTACACACATACTGACCGAATTGTTGATGAGCACTATTGACGACGACAGCGAGCTTGTTCGTAGACATACATACGTACATACATAGATACATAGATACATAGTCATATCTCGTTCTCTCCTCCCACTAAGTTCTATAGTCAGTCATTATCATGATGGCAAGTTTACTTGAACAATTGCCTCCATTTGGTGATAATAATGATAATGAAAATAATATTCCAAAAAGTTTTTTAAATGTTCTTCAAGAACTTTATCATGATGGTCGTTTGACATCATGGAAAGTTCGAGGACGAGGAGATGTTCTTTCTGTTCGTTTAACATGGTTGGATCCAAATCATCGAAATGCATGTATTAAAGCAAAATCTCGACAACATTTAGGTGAGATTAAAAATATATCAAATTCCTTTTTTTTGTATATTTTAGCTGATCTCTATGAACTTGACGACGATCTCGGTTACGGAACCTTTCCAACAAGTGATTCGAAGGATGGTTGGTTTTAATAAGCAAATAGTAACAATGACTATTTGCTGAGGATTTCATTTTTAATCTTATATTCAACTGATTTATTATAAAATCATCTATTCATATATATATATATATATATATTTTTTTCTTATCTTAGGTTCTGTCATTTCTTATGTTACTTATGATAAAAATATAAAACGTGAATTAACAGAATATTCTGCACGATTACATGTACTTGTCGATAAATTAGAAGCTGATTTAGCTGAACGTAATATACATAACAATCATCGTACAGTAAGAGGAAAAAGTAAGCAAAAATAAAATAATGGACAAAAATATTTTTAATCAGCAATTCTTTTATATTATTTATCAGTTACAACTATTATTCGACGCGGCGGTGAGCTCTATGGCTCATATAAAATGCTATCTAACCCTCCTTAATTGTTTTCTAACTTTTATAATTAAGTAGAAGAAGCATAAGAACAAAACAGAAAGGAAAGAAAAACAAACTATTTTTTCTCTATTCGTTCTCTTTTTGGCAGAAGGTTTTGAAATTTAACACGAAAAAAAATACACATTAATAAATTTTTCTTATCTTATACATGTCTTATTTTTATTTTGTTTTTCTTTAACATATACAGGTAAAGAAAGTCTTAAAGCTCATCAACAACAAATTGCAATTGAAATAGGCCGTGCTCGTGTGGCTGTTAGTGGTCCTCTTCGACGTAAGTACATAAACGATCAATTTTTTTTAAATATTTTATATATGTATCTACAAAATTTGCAATTTCTTTTTTGATAAATGATTCGATACCTTGATGTACGGTATCATATCAAAACATAATTTACTTAAGAGTAAGACACCATATAATTTTACGTAATGCTTCTCTAGACTGTAAATACATATACGCAAAAGTGTTGAAGGACATATAGAAAAAAAGAAAGAGAATAAAAGAAGCATCCATAGTGATTCTAGAAAAACATTTAAGGTCGTTTTCTATGATGAGTTCAAAGAGTCTTATGATTTATTCGTTATTTTCAATCTGTGTTATTCATCTGATTAAATTGTAGACAGGTGTACAATTTTACAAAATATTCTTTTGATTTTCTTTTCTTTCTTCTGTTGTCATTTGTTTTCTTTTACTTTTCTTTTGCTTTTTCATTTTTTTTTTCGCTTTTTTTCAAGAGTAGTAAAAAAAAGAAAAAAAAAAGAAAAAGAAAAGTAAAGTATGTTGATTGTTGTTTATTGTTATATTTTCATTTGTCATTGTGAAAAAAAATCTGATGATACAAGAACGACATCCAATTTTCATGAGATTTATTATCTCATTTATATCATACATAGCTGTATTACAAGTTTTGTATGCTTTTCAAAATATTCTTGTTTCTATACCTTGTGTGGCTACTTTTGCAACACTCTATGTTTTAATTTTACAACGAACAGTTTCATCATCAAAATCATTAAAACCTATTCTTAATCATACAGGTTCAAATGTAAAATCAAATGTAACACATGAAAGAGATTTACATAATTTATTAATACAACAAACAGAAGAAGTTCTTCAAACAAATTTACAAAATTTTCGTAAAGTAATTAATTAAAAAAGAAAAAACAAAAATTTATTTTTTTTTCTTTTATTTCAATATTTTCTTATTATTTAAAATAGACATTAACAGCACCAAATTCATCTATAACTGCAAATAATTTTGATCAAAAATTAGCACAAACTATTTTTGATAAATGTGTAAGTAAAGAAATTTTTCAAGAACTACCTGGTGTTGTCGAGTCGGTATGTAAAAACAATAAATGATTTATATTTTATTACATTTTGAAATTTTATAGTCAATACCACCAGTAACATCACAACAACAATCATCCAATATATCATCGTTCACATCACTTACAAAACCTTCATCATCTCAACCAACTTGGAGTAATTCATCACCACGAACACAAAGTACATCTTGGGAGGTAAATAAAATTTTCTTTACTTTTCATTGGAATCATTCATATATTGTTTATTGATTATAGATTAAATCTCGTAACGATAATATTCATAAAATAAGCATACCAAAAAATTCAACTCTCGACGAAGAAGGTTTTTGTTTATTTATTTTATTTCTTCATAAAAAACAAAAAAAAGAAGGTCTTTTCTTTTGTCTTCTTAGATACTGAAAAAGAAGAAGAAGAAGAAGAAGAAGAACAACGAGAACAAATAATACATGATACTAATAAAATTCAACCTCAAACAATCACTGATAGTATTGAATTTGATAATGGTCTTAAATTAGATTTAAGTTCAATTGATGATGGAACATCTAATACAAAAACTAATCGACATTCTCTTGATTCCGATTATGAAGCAATAAATAGATCATTTGCACGTGTTGGTGATTGGCAAACAAATTTTACGTTAGTTGAATCAAAGGTAAAATATTAATCGAGATTATTCATTATGAAGACAAATCGTTTTTTTTTTTTGGACATTTTTAATCGTTGTCAAATAACATATATGTCATAGAATATTTGAAAAAGAATGCACATTAAAAACATTTGTCAATACGAATTCATCTTTATATGTTACTCTGCATGAGTACAATTGAGTCTTTTCACAGAAAATTGCGCAAAAAAAATCGATTGAAAAATGTTTTGAATAATGCCAAGCTTCGAGGCTTTTTAAATAAACGCATGAGCGCATTATGTACATTACTTCAAAGAAGTTGTGACCTATTCTTGCAATAAAAGACTTCGGGTCTTTTCAATTATGTTCAAGCGTATAAAATTCTGTGGAGGCATTTTTGTGCTTCATGTATTTATTTTTACCTAAAAGGTTTTGTTTTTTTTTTCAGAAAAATCAAAATGATTTTAGAAATAGGTTTTTTTCATGTTTTACAAGTCTAGAAATAATTTTAATTTCAATTTTCATAGGTTTTCAGTACGAATTTAAATACATTTTGATGATAAAGTTCTAATATTTCACAAAAATGAATTAATCAATGGAAGTCTTCTATTGTAAGAAGGAAATTTCTTCTGTATCCTAAAGTTCGACTTTTCGGCCTCTGCAAAAAATTTTAGGTAATAGAGTTTCCGAGTATTTTTGAAGATGAAGGAAGGGCTGAAGTTTCGACGAAAAGTATCTTCATTCGTCTTTTTGTGATATTTTGTTTAAGAGAAAGTATCTTCATATGTATATCTATCAACAGTAGAGAACTAGAATTCTCTTTCTGTCAAGATTTCGAATTTTTCAGAAAGACAAAAGCATAGTTTATCTTCTCCTTAATTGTTAACCTTGTAAAAGATATCACTCGAATATTCTTCTTTATATAGATAAAATCTTTTTTTTTTCACAGTATCATTTGTACAAAAATTTTGTTTATTGGACACAATGAAATCATATATTTATCTTATTATTTATCTAAATAGTTTTAATTATGTTTAATATAGAAATAAATTTCTTAATTAAAATATTGATCTTATCAATTTTATTATCTATTATAATCCCTTCATTGCTTTTTTTATTTCTCTTTCTAGCTTTCCTCACATTCGGGTGAAGAAACACCACGTAGTAGTCGTGAAACTGTTTTTTTAACACTTCCAGCCTCTGATAATAAAGATTTAAGTCCACGTATTGGTGATAAGTAAGATAAAAAAGAAAAAAATTCAATTAATAATAAATAATTTTTATTTCTTTTTTTTTTTTTTTTCAATAGACCTCTTGAAGATCTTGCTGATGATGATTTATATGCTGATGATGAATCATCATCATATCCAATACCAATAAATACAATAACAATTGGTGATCATTCACAAATAAGTGATAACGAATCAACAAATATTCGTAAATTTTTTCCATTACCAGCTAATCTTCTTTTACAAAATCATTCATCGTGTTCATTTCGACGACCATCTTATAAATATGAATCTGATAATGAATCAATAGTATCATCAAGTCCAAGTTTAACTGAAATGAAAACATTTACTGATGAAGATAAATTTCGTATGGATCCAAATATAACAGATCCAAAATTTATTTTAAGACCAAAAGATACAACAATACGTAATGGTGAAACAGCTAAATTTAAAGTAAAAGTTATTGGTACACCACCAATTGATGTCTTTTGGTTTCGTTTTGGTACTGATGATGAACTTGTTAATGATGAAAAATATCAATTAAGTTATGATGATACATATCATTATTTAAAAATTTATTCAATAACTAAAGATGATCAAGGTGCTTATTTATGTGTTATTGCTAATGATAATGCACA